ACTCAAAAGGATCGAATCAGAACCTAGTGGGTTACTATGATGCAGATTGGACAGGAAGTGCTGATGACAGGAAAAGCACCAGTGGTGGGTGTTTCTTTCTCGGAAACAACCTCATCTCGTGGCTCAGCAAAAAGCAAAACTCGGTGTCCCTCTCCACTGCTGAAGCAGAATACATTGCCATGGGGAGCTGTTGTAGCCAACTACTGTGGATGAAGCAGATGTCCGCTGACTATGGAATGGATTCAGGTCCACTTCTTGTGTACTGTGACAACAAGAGTGCTATAAGCATTTCCAAGAACCCAGTACAACACTCAAGGACCAAACACATCGACATAAGACACCACTTTATCCGTGAGTTAGTGGAAGGAAAACAGGTAGTGATCGAGCATGTTGTCACTGAATCTCAACTGGCTGATTTATTCACAAAACCACTGGACTTTAATCGTTTTGTCACCTTAAGAAATGCAATTGGTGTTTGTGGAATGTAACAAGTGTTTTGAGATGTGCAGAACTGATACAGGTATAGGCTCAGGATGATCATAACGTTTCGATTCAGCCTTGAGGGTTAAAGGTCGGAGAAAACGAGCCACCTATCTTGTCGTCATGACTTGACATCAGTACAGGTTTCACAGAGAGAACCAAACAGCCTGAAAGCAATGTAAGTCGGTCTTTGAGAAATCACAATGATAAGACTGAGCTACAGGTTGATCTATAGGTCAGAGACAGGTCTTACATCAAAAAGAAGACCTGTCCAAAGCTCAAAGGAAAAACCCAAGGCAGAAAAAGAAAGGAAGCTGCCAAGTCACAGTGTACCCAATAAAAAATTCACTGTGACAAGTACCTAAGGTTCTCTCTTGCTGAATAAAGGTTGAAAACTGGTGAAGAGCATGATAAAGACAAGGTAGTGTGAAAGCTAGTCTCAGTATCAAATCTGTCAAGGTACAAAGAATCAAGAAGAAGCGGAGTGATCATTCGAGTCATGTGCTGAATCAGCTTTTGTGTCATCTGTGAATCTGGGTGAATAAGCAAAAGAAAACTGTCTTCAAAAGCTAGTTGAGGTGTGATGAGGTGAACGATTACTATTTTCTGTTAGCCATCACAAAATTCTTCGGTTTAAATGTGTCAATGACTGTCGTGTTCCTTGTGATGTACTAATGAATGTTATTGTGCTAGAAAAAGACTTGTCATGATTAAACAGGAAGTGGGCCGTGGACAAATGATGCTCCTGTAGACAGGCCCAACAGCAGCCCATGAGGAAAAAGGGAAATCAAATAAGGAGAGAGAAATCGAAGCGATGTTGTTATATTTGCGGGAGAGGAAGAGGAAGAGACGCTACATCAAACTGTTCAAAAACCCTAGGTGCAGAGAACTTGTGTGACTCAATTCGAAGCATCTCAGTCTAGATCCGCAAATAAAATGGTGTCTGCAACACGAAGAGGGCTCATCGGAAAGAAATCAAAGTCAAAGATGGCACATACAACAGGTGATGCTTCGTCTCCTCACTTAATCGATGGATCGAGTGGTGAAGAACAGAATCCACCGGTGATTCAGAGCGAAGAGAAGTCCGGAACAGGAAAGGGGACCGGCAGCGAGAGCGAATCCTTCGCCACTGCAGACGAAGGCGGAGACTCAGCAGCCAAATCACCGGAAGATCTTGGAGAAGAATTTCCTCTTCCCGTGGAAGCTCAGGTTGAATCGATGGCACAAGAAGAGGAACACGAGGGTGTGAATGAGCCCGAGGCAGAAAACAAAGAAAGCCCTCGAGCAGAAACTGAAACACAAGGTGCCGATCAACTGAGGGAGGATAAAGAAGCCACATCGGAGACCCGAATGGAGGCTGAGTCTGATGACAATGATAAGGTGGTGCCTGAGAATGAAGAAGAGAGAGGTCAGCCATCTGAGACAGACGAGCGGCCAGAGGAGATGTCGGTTCAGGAGCAAATCGACGAGGTCAAAAGGAAGAGGAGTTTGGCGATGGTGACTGTCCCAGCTGCCAAGCGAGCTCGGAAAGAAAAGAAGAGAACCACATCCGCTCAAACCTCAGGACCAGGAGCTGAATCAACCCCTGCCGCTCCCTGCCCAGAACCTGAATCGAGTCATGTCAAGCAGAAAAAGAAGAAGTCCAACCTCAGGAGCAAAAAGAGGGTGGCGTCTGATGAACGATTCCAGGTGTTCAAGGATCGTCATATCTGGAGTGAACGAGTTGTAGATGTGGACGAAGAGGATGAATGGAAGTACCTTGAGGTACTTCGTGAGAGCGGAATGCGGTGGACGGTGACAGAACTCGAGCCATACATGAGCAAGGTGGTGCGTGAGTTCTATGCAGGGCTACCTCCAGAGTCACCGAGTGATCCATCTCAGGTGTTTGTGGTGAGAATCAGGGGATCCAAAGTCAGAATTTCTCCAGGGATCATCAATGAGACCTTACGCCGCGAGCCTCTTACTGAAGCTGAGAGGAAAGAGGAGGCTGAGGCAGATCTTGTGCCAATCTCTGAGGTATCAAGATACCTGTCACAAGGGCATCAGTCTACATGGGCTGAGTTAACCTCGAGAGATTTTCCTCCACGGATAGCTGCACTGATGGTCATCGCATCCTACAATTGGGTCCCTTCGACGAATAAGCACCACATTTCTGAGGAACGGGCGAGGTTGGTGTATAAGCTGGCGCACGGGATCAACGTTGACATTGGGCGAATGATTTTCCAGCAGATGCTTGATCTGAGCAAGGTCATCAAGGGGGATAGACGGTGGTTGATGTTTCCCTGTCTCATCAGCAAGGTCATCAAGAGGCAGCTCATCCTGCAGCTCGAAGAAGGTGAAATGTGGATCTTTCCGACCAAATACAAGAAGGATCCACGAAGTGGGGAAACATTTCTCAAAAAGGAAGCTGCTGCTGCTGTCACCGAGGAAAAGGCCAAGGAGAAACGAAAGAAAGAGGCAAGAAAGAGGACTGGAGTTGCCTTGACATCGCATCCCTCAACCTCGAGTCTGCGTCCATCAACTGCTGCCCAGTCGAACACGCCAACTGGAGGAGTCAACAACGTGACTCTGGGAGTGATTCGAGTGCCTGAAGCACCAGCTGATGCAGAGGGAATCAGGACAACTCTTGAAGATGTGGCAACAGTTCTTGAGCAACTCGGGGTAGTAACGACCATGCTGCGCACTGCAGTCACAGGTAAACCTGCTTAGATCCTATCTAAACCTTCGAGTTATGTTTGCTCATCGATTGTTTTTAACATCTGTGCTCACAAGCAGGGGGAGAAGATTGAAATCGGTGGATGCATGAACTATGGGGGAGTTTTTGGGGTTTTATGTTTGGGGTTTTAATTCTGGGGGAGTAAGGAGAGTTTTATTTAAGACATTATGTTTTATCTCTTAACTCCTTGAACTCGTTTATGTTAAGACTTGACACTCCATTGGTTTCTTGGAGTTTCTTTTGGTTAATCGGAATCTTTTGGAATCATTCCCAGAATTGTGTGGCTTGTGGTGTGTTGGTTGTTGCTTGTTTGGTTTCGATTTCCTGAACAGGTACTTGTGGAGCACATATGCTAAAAAGGGGGAGATTGAAGATGCAAACAAGGCTGGAGCAGCGCGTGTAGCAGTCCGACTAGCTCTGGAACTGACACGGGAAGACTTGCGTAGCAATCTACACACGTGGAGGTGAGCTGGAAGCTGAGCTAGAGCTGCAGGACGTGCTAGACACTTCAAGAGACGAGAAGCTGACGTGGATAGGAAGCTTGGAGTATCTTGGAGGATCTATGAAGACAATATCGAGTTTCCTCTATCTTAGGAGAAGATAAGGAAGGTGAAGATTCTCATGAAGATTTGGTGTAATCCGAAGGAGAATCTAGACGAGGATCAGCCGCAAGTCCTATTGAGTATAAATAGGCGTGTTAGAGCTAGGTAGGGTTTTAACACAACTGAGAGAATACTTAGCAAAGGGTGAGCGAAAATCTGTGAGAGTTTTTGTGAGCTAGTGTGCTAAGGGATTTGGGTGAGAGGTTCTTGAATCATGTATCGATTCAAGAACAAGTGAGACTAGTGTAGCAAATCAAGGCGTGTCTTGAGGTTGCTCTAAATCGGGTTCTGTATACTTGTAAGTTACAAACAGATTTACTAGTGAAGTATCTTTGAAGAGAAAAATCCCTGTGTTGTGTTCTGTGTTAGTTCCCGTATTACTACTCTTACAATTTCAGAATCAACCAAGTACTGTTCCTTAATTTATGTTATGTCTCCAAACATTCAAATGGTCGTGATTTATATCTTAGAAAACGCTCGTCGCTTAAAGACTGCAACAATATTCTGTCAACCATATTTTGGTTCCAAAGCATCGACATGCTAAAAGAGTTGACATTCTGTTCCTGCGCTTCAACCAAATTCCGACTTTTATTTGATTAAGGGACGTTTGATAATCATGCCTCATATATATTAATTGAGTTTGTATATGTACTATACGAGTTTTATAAATCGTTTTACATATTATTTTATGATCCGGAGAAAAACAGCTTTAGAAAAGTCGTGTTTAAGGGAGTTGGAGATGGACGTTTCTATCCGCTCCATACTCTCCAGAATCACATTGACTCTCAAGTCTTTGTAACATAAGTTTTGAGAGTGACATAAGTTGTAAATAATTTAGTGACATAAGTTGTAAATAATTTGATTAAAGTTTTCCATTTTTTTTGTTTTCCATTTTTATAAAAGTAGTCGTAGACTATTTAATGTTTTTTTGTTTTCCATTTTTTGGACAAAAAAATAAAAGTTGGACAAAACTATCTAATAATATAAAAGTGGTCGAATTTTGGTTTTCCATTTTTTTGTTTAAAGTTTTTTTTTCATCGATTATAAAATATTAAATTATTATATAACCACGTATAAGCGGGTTCGATCGTAATCTAGTTTTATATAAAGAGAGATTAGAAATTTAATAAAGAAGTGGCAAGACATAGAGGAACGGAATCGTGAAGAGAAGTAGCGAACAAATTATAGGGTTTTGGGCAACGATGAAGCAACGAGAAGAGAAGACCGAAAATACCAAGAGAAAAAGAAGAAGACAATCTTCTTCTTCATCTTTGTTAAACTCAACATCGTCCTTACCTCTCGACATAGCCTCAGAGATACTCTTAAAGCTGCCAGCAGAATCTGTCTTGAGGTTTCGTTGTGTTTCGAAGCTTTGGTCATCAATCACCAACGAGCGAAATTTCACCGACTCGTTCCAAACTAGGAGGCCAAAAAGGCTTCTACTCTTCTTCAAAGAAGGTGAAAGGTTCTTTGTTTTCTCGCTTCCTCAACACAATCCAAACCCTAATGAGTCTTATTCTTATTACGCTTCTCAGCCTATTGATAGTTACCATATGACATACCCAAAACGTTGTTCCTACACCATGAAAACGGAGTCAGTTCACGGCTTGATCTGTTTTCAAAGTTCAGCAACCCCAATAGTGTGGAACCCTAGCATGAGAAAGTTCTTAACTCTACCCAAACCGGACAAGACCTGGAAGAATATAAAAGTCTTTTTAGGATACGATCCTGTCGAGGGTAAACACAAAGTAGTTTGCATGCCTGGTAGTTTTAACTCATCTGATGAGTGTCGGGTTTTAACATTAGGATCATCATCAGATCAAGAATCATGGAGAAATGTCAAACACAGCCACAATCATTATCCTTTCCCTGGTAAACAAAAAGGTGTTTATCATGGACGATGCATCAATGGGGTTCTATATTATCCTGCGCGACTCGGCGACGATCTGGTTATAATGAGCTTCGACATAAGATCTGAAAAGTTCATCAATGTGATAAAAATTCCATATCAGTGGTATGATATGAATTGGCATAATACGACGGCGATGATGATAGCTTATCAAGGAAAGTTAGCTTGGGTTCGTTCTTGTGGGGATCGTATTTCGCTGTGGGTTTTGGAGGATGCAGAGAAACACGAATGGTCGAAACATATCCTTTTACCGCTTTCTCACTATGATCAGGGTTTGCAAAACTTCAAACTAGTGGGTGTCACTGATGATGGCGAGTTGGTTTACGTGCAAAACACGGCATTCAAATGTGTTCCTGTTATATATGTTGATCCAAAGAGACAAACGTTCAGAAGAATCGAATTTAGAGGAATTGCGGATGATGATTTTAGACAACGCAATGGACTAGGAGACAGACGTCTGCGAGACCTCCAATCTTTCCCCAATCACATTGAAACTCTTTTGTCTTTGTGATTGCTAGTTTTGTCTTATTACAGGTTTTGGTTTTTTTTTTTATCTCATTAACAAAGTTCTTTGTTATTTAAAAGTAAACAATTACAAAAGGGGAGCACTATGCATTATATACCATATTGATTTGAAGTTTTAAGAGATCAATCCGATCAGATATGTATAGTAACTTCCATTGACTCAAAAGAATCATATCCAACAAAGAATACAGCTTGAACTGGATTCACAAGTGAAAGAATCATAATATCTGTACAGTGTGATGTTTTTCTTTTCAAACATTTACGGTTCAAAATGTTGGAGCTCGATGGACCAGTTAGATGCTAATTGGATCAAAAGATGGTCGGGAGCTAGACCTTCCCAGTCCTCGGGAGGATCCGTTGTTGAAGAAGCTTCGTGTAGATTCAACAGAAGCTCCTTCTTTAACTCCAATGGTATTCCCTTAAACGCTGCTCCGTTTTCTACACTTACCTCTAGCAGCTGGAGAACATATACAACAAATAAGAAAGCATTAATTCAAACATATTTGAGGTAAAAACATGTATCGCAGAACGAAGTAGGAAGAATATTTGTTACCTGTTGAATCCAAGATAGACATATATCAAACAGAGTATGATCCAGGAGAAACTGTGCAATAGAGTGGACAACCTCGTTTCCAATATCATTCGAGAGTTGATCGAGAACAGGACCGGTTTTGTCCATTAATTTGACAAGCAAAAGATCGTCCCCTGTTGATAATACCTCAGCAAATGCAGAATCCGTATCACCAACTCGGAGTGCATGCATCGCATTGCTCCAACAAGTCCAGATAGTGTCATGCTCTTGTCCTCCACGGTCATCATCATAACCGTCCATTATTGCTTCTGCTTCGGGAATAGATACTCCCCTTGCCCTTGACGTTCCTCCACCGTCTTCTCCAGCCACACGTATTGCTTCAAGAGTAGCTTCATCTTTTGAAGCTTGCCATACACTTCTAGCAGAAGGTCCTTCACCTAGTCTAATAGGGACAGAGCTTTTGTCCCAAGCTCTTCTGCCGTTACCTGAGTGCTCAGAGTCCACAGGACCAGTGCCTCGTATTCTTCTTGTGCTGGTTTGAGCGTTTCTCGAAGAAGCTCCATAGGTAGGACTATCCCATCCATCTACATCTGACCTCCATGTTGCCGCTTTTCCCCTAACACCTGAAGCAAATTTCATTTCGGGAATCAACAAATATCGTTTTTCAAATGGATGCAACAAGTTGCAGTTCCTCACTGCGCGGATCAAGAAGTTTTACTTACCTGTTTGTATGGAAATTTCTCTTGACATCTCTTCTACAATCCTCTCAAGACCCCTAACACGGTTCTCCAAACTTATCATGCCATCGTGTGAACCACCCATAAAATCCTGCAATGATAATGAAGTTACCATTTAAGAGTGAAACTACTTCAAAGCGAATCAGTAAATTGGATTTCAAATCAGAACAGTACCTGCAACATGTTCATTATGTGAGTTTGTTGTCTCTCCAAGTGCAATAGCTGTCTCTGTAAAGGTGGCCAATTCCCTCTGTTTTCAGATCCCTCCGCCTGGATTACTTCGGTCTGATCTCCATCAAATGATCTCAACCGTGATTCGCCTCCGTTCATTCTTTCATCTACCCATTTCTCTCTAGCAAAATCTCCAAAATGTCTTTGTTTGGAATGGACACCACCTGTTCTGCACAAACCTTTTGACCTACTCCTCGATACTGAAGTATTGGCGTCTGATTCATCCTCTGTGTTTGAGTTTGACGAATTCTTTTGCCTACAGGGAAGAATCACTTCGACAGGCATATCACCAGAACCTCCTTTTTCCAGTTTCTGAAAAAATTCTGGGTTAAGATCTTTGCCAGTCAACCGAGGTGCTTTCTTCCTCAAGATGAGAACTGCTCTGGAAATGGAATCTGAGTTACTGCTCAAACCATCAGAAGAGCCTTGCATCACCGGTCCTGCTCCCTCACATGAAATTGAATCGGTTTCTCCATTCCTTTCCAATATACATTGCTCAGATGATACATCCTTCTGGTCATCAGATGTTCCAGATTCACCTTTCCCAGTAATGTTCTTCCAGACGTTTAGTGCTTCGGACAAGCTCTCTCTAACAGGTTTTATCTGCAATCCAAAGCATATATACTTATAGCCTTTTTACAGAATTATTTAAAAACAAAATGTAGGAAAAAGTAAAAATGTGATTCAAGTCTAGTAGTTTCCCTTCTTAGTATATAGGAAAAAGTAAAAATGTGATTCAAGTCTAGTAGTTTCCCTTCTTAGTATATAGGAAAAAGTAACAATGTGATTCTGGAGATATATAAATCGAAGTAGGTCAATCAAAATATATTTACTGTCTTCAATCTGGTAGCAGAACAAAACATATCTCTGCAAATCCTTTTGCACAAAGGAACTACATTTTTCACAGAACATCTGCTATAGCTACCCAAGTTTTATTTCAATCGAGCTCGTATCTTTGGCTACTTTTAGTTTGTTAGAAATGTAAAACATAGATAATGGCGTGTACACATAAGGTTCTAGAAACAAGGAAAAGAATGAGACGAGCTATCCTTACAAAACCATAAGCGTAAATTGTATTTCTTCTTCTTTCTAACCTTAGATATATATATGCCAAACCATTCCTCTTCCGGGAAAACCAGAAGACAAAACCATCGCTATTGCTGACTGTTGTAAGCTAAGATGATAACTCGTAAAAATGTACAGAGGCGTTTCTTTTAAAGAGATTCACACGACTGTAGTCTAGGAACTTAGGTACAAAACAGTTATGATAACTGGAGTCACCTTATCAAAACGAAAGGCCTCAAGAGCTGTAAGAGTGGAATCCGTTTTGTCTGCAACCAGAGTAGTAGAATGGACGGCCAAGGAGATTAAGACATCAGCAGCTGCCTTACGAGTAACCCAATCCGTACATCTAAGGCACTCATGAATGCTGTGTAGCAATGATTCCAAGCTCTGGGGTGCAATAGCTCCAACCTGCAAGAAATTCATAGTTCAAAATACGTAATCCATAGAGATGAACAATGAAATTTAGACACACCAATCTGCTTTCATGTCATGCCTCTAGTAAATTGAAACCAAAACATAGTTTGTCTCCATTCCAATGCCACAGAAACATTTCTAGATTATATATATATATATATCAACATTCCAAAATTCTGAGCATATCCCTTCACACAGAGAAGCCATTCGAATCAGCTATACAATATAAGCCTATACTTCGTAGCATAGAAACACAATTAGCCAAAACTAGAGACAAAGCACAAACAATGCATTTCAATCTAAGAAAATAAAGTTAAGGCATTGTAATTTTGTAGAGCCAAGCAGAAAAGAGATTAACCACATTGTACAAACCTGAGACAAGCTTCCAACTACAGGTAAGAGGGAAGCTTTAGTAATGTAATTGGGGCTATTCAAAAGCTTTGAGATTCTAGGGCACAGCTTTTGAAAAGCTGCAACGGGAGGCTCCGATGCTGAATTCACCATCTTCCCCATACAAATCGCAGCACCAGATTGTAAGCTTTTGTTCTGCTCTGCCATAGCCTCGAACAAGGGCTTAGCAAAGAGCCCCACCAACGAAGACCCAGCGCAATTTCCATTTCCCTCCTTCTCCGTCAGAAAATGCGCGGAGAGAGACCCGATTGCGTCGCGGCAAGCGTCGCGCACGCCGTTATCGGCGTCCTTGAGGCGTTTGACGATGTGGGAGATGATTTTGGAGAGCTGCGAAGAGGTGAGATCGGAATAAGAGAGGCAGAGAAAAGAGAGGAGTCGTATTGATTCTCTCTTGACGGGGGCTTTAGGATCGGCGAAGGAATCGAAAAGGCAATGGAGTAGCACCGGGAGGATTTCGGGAGAATCGGAGACGGAGACGACGAATTTCTCGAGATCCTCGACTGCGATCTGGTAAGTGTCGCGATCGCCGATTCTAGAGAGAGAGGTTAAGATCCTTTGCTTCAATTCCACCATTGCCGAGTGAGACGAGACAGCGACGGAGGATCTGACGGAGAAGGAAGAAGCATTTGAAGGTTTCATTGCAGGTTTCAAAGGCTTCGTACCGGTTTGTGAGCCCATTCGCAATAGTTACATATAGGAATGAAAGGAAGAGAAGGAGATTCGACGGTGATGGGGTTTTTGACTTGTGAGTGTTAGAGAGCTTGGTGAGCCATTGCAATGGCTAATTTGGGAGATTCGATTAAACCTAATGTTGAGTTTCGATCATCGTTATTATGGAAAGAAATAGGTCAGAGAAGGAAGAAGACGTCTGGTTTTTCCGGTGACAATGCTTGAAAATTTCTGTTGGGGTCTTTAGAGAGAGTGGAGACCACGTCTTTGCCATGTCATGCTTAGTTGTTTTATTTTGCTTGTTTTTCTCAGTTAATTATCTACAAGTATTCTGTTTAAAATCAATTTTAGGAAAAAAAAAACATTTAATCCAATCCCAAAAGCTTAGAATTGATGGAGGATTTTTTTATTTTTGATTTTTGAATTTTTAGATTTTGGTTTTTTTTTAGAAAAAGCAAAATTAGATAGGTTAAAGATTTTCTGCAAAACTTAAGACAAATACTAAGTTTTTTAAAGAATATAAGGAAACAAATCTTCAAAGAGAGGACAGTAAATTTTGATTTTTAAAAAACCAAGAACTTAAACACAACTGTTGCCATGCCACTAATAATTGGTAGAATCAAGAATGTTGTAGATTGATATAAAAACTAGTTAAGAAAAATAGATGGCTTATAATATAGTTTTGTGTGTATCTGAAATCTAACGGCGGATATTAATATGTAATTTTATTTTTATTTTTTTAGATAAAAAAGAGGAAGGAAAATGAGTGGATAATAAAACCACTGAATCTGTCTGCTTTACTGGAAACTTGAAAGCATTAAGAGACCAGCCATGGCTTCTTCTTCTATCTCATTCTCAAGCGCACCTTCACTCTTATCCACCAAACCCATCAACCATTCTTCTTCTTCCCCGAGGCTGCCCTCCTCTCGATTTCTCGGAACCCGAAACTTAAAGCTTCGGATCCGACCCGCAAGACTTGGACCCTCCAACGGGTCAAGAACCACTTGCTGGTTCAAGTTCGGCAAAAACGGCGTCGATGCCGAAAGTGCCGGAATATATGGCAGTCAAACTCGCGATGACTTCGACAAAGACGACGTTGAACAGGTTTTCTCTTCCTCTCGGCTCAAATGAAATCGATAAAATCATATTTTGGCAATTTCGATCAAGCAGAGCCTTAGGCTGGATTCTGATATATCAAATCGTCAAGTTCTTCACTTTGGTTACTGAATCACGATCTTTGATTCAACTCATTTGTAGATGTGAAGAAGTATTAAAGAAAGAGAGAAAGTTTCAATGCATAACTGATGTAAAAAATGTATGTGTTCTTGATGTATTTTGCAGTATTTCAATTATATGGGGATGCTTGCGGTAGAAGGTACATACTCAAAGATGGAGGCTCTTCTTAACCTAAAGATACACCCAGTCGACATACTGTTGATGTTAGCCGCCACAGAAGGTGACAGACCCAAAATCGAGGAGCTGCTCAGAGCTGGTGCTGATTACTCAGTCCAAGATGCTGATGGAAGAACCGCTCTCGACAGAGCTAACAGCCAAGAGATCCGTGACTTGATCCTTAACTACAGCGCTCAAAAGGCTTGACTCGTTTTGAGATGTTTCTTGTGCTAGAACAAGCTGTCTTTATGTGTTCCGCGGATGAGTAGATTATAAAATCCATCTTCTTCTTCCTTTTTGTCTTTCTCGCCTGTCTCTTGTTTCTTTCTTGATGGTTGTTCTTCTATGGAGTTTGGCGTTATTGCAGAGGAATGTCTTTTCACGGGTAGAAACGCCACTTTAGTTGCTCTGCAACTCAGTTTCGTTGTGTCTGTGTTGATTTTTGCAGGGCTCACGGAATTTGTAGATCCATCTTCTAGTTTTTCTGAATCTTCTGTTTGTGAATCATTGTTAGTCTTGGAAGCAGCTGTTTCAGCAATGAGCGTTGAACATTCTGTAGCAGGAACACTAACACCACCGTTTTTGTTTGCTTCAAGCGGAGGAGATATATCTTCTGCAATTGGACAATTCAAGCAAAAGCACGAATCTTTCAGTGAAGTATAAAACAGAGAATCTCGGTGTCTTATTGGCCCTAAAAACCATGAAGTTCTAAACAAGTATGAGCCTCCTTGTAAAGGACATAACCAACATACAGTCTAGGGAACCGAACATAATCAACCAAACAGTAGTTCTGTAAGATATCCTTACCTCCAAAAAGAGAAACAAATGTCTGATACTGAACCGAACAATCCCTAGTTGTAGTATCTTCTGGATTTTCTGAATTTTCTGTTTGCAATGCATTGTTATTCTTGGAAGAAGCTGATTCGGCAATGGGAGAACACTTTTCTCTCAGAGTAACACCATCGTTGTCTGCTTCAAGCAAAGGAGAGAGATCTTCTACAAGTGGGAGAATTCAACCCAAAGCACAATCTTTCAGTTAAAGTACAAAAAAACATAATATTATTGGATCTTGCTACGCTTTGACCAATAAGGCCATCTAAAAACCAAACTCTACAATCTTTGCGCCTTTTAAACTCTAAGGCAGAATTCTACACAAGTATGAGGCATGAGCCAACTGAGTGGTTCTCTCCAGATCAAGGTACTAAGGACATAACCAGCATTCGAATCAGAGAACAAAAATTAACCATATAGTAATTCTGCGAAGGTTCTTACCCCCAAGAGAAGAAACAGATGTTTGATACTGTACCAAAGAATCCTTAGTAGTTACATCTTCTGAAACATTATCTTCTATAGGTTTACTACTCTCACGGTTCTGCAGTGTCTCGAGTAAGACATATTTATCGGTCTTCCATACACAATCCAATAAGGTGATGCACCCTTCATCCTTTGGATAGAACTCGCGAAACACCTGTATTATTTCAAATTGAGAAAACAGACGTTACTGACATGATCATTGAACTGTGTAAGAATCAACTGAAGGGTCAACCAGAGAAGCTTAGACCAACCTCAACCCCATCCTGTGCTATCTTTACAGACTGTTTCTTCAAGGATGTAGATGTTACTGAATTGAAAACTGAAACAGCATCAAGTAATATCTGCACGAACCCAAAACAATGAACGAATTAAGGACATTGTGCACACTATCAAAATAAGATCATTCACAGCGAGTATCTATTAGAGCATGGATTACCGAAACTGCCTAAAATGTTCTTTTAGTTTCTTCGGATCAGACAGAACCAGAGGGAAAAAAAAAGTCAACTTACTTGTTGAATCAACACCCGGAGACGTGCAAGCAGAGCCAAAAATGTCACGGAAGATCCTATGAAAAATGAACAAGCTAGCAGAATGGATATCCCACTGAAGAAGAAATTGGAGCCAAATACAATTAAGAACTAATTGCGATTAGCTCGAAGAAATTACACAACCAGTTTCATAAATCAATCAATACCTAGCTGCCTTCAAGATTAGCTCTAAGAAATTGGAACCAAGATTAGCTCTAAGAAATTACACAACCAGTTTAGTTCAAAAATCAATCAATACCTAGCTGCCTTCAAGATGGGTTCAGTCATCTGCAACAAACACAAGGACCAGTCAGAACACTTGGAACTTGTTCATATGTATGAGTTGGTATGATCACAGCTTGTTTACGCAAGCTTGTCTCTACCGGAGCAACACAGAAAGCTCCATAAAATATAGATTATAGCATACCTGCGAGAGTAAACGAAGAGCTCCAAGAAGTCGCTCCAAGATATTTGGTTTCCCAGTATCAGATTTTTTCAACTTCAAGCTGCGTAAAACTCAAAAATTCCAGCTAAGCGCCAATGCAATTCTCATATATAAGTAATAAGCAGACGAAAGATAAGCCTACCTCTCCAAAACATGGATTTTCTGTTTAGTTCTGTTCCCAGATATAACAGGAAAGCAGGATTTCAGAATCTCCTCCATGTTTGCTGTTTGCAAAAGTCTCAAATCCCTCCTCACCTGAGCAATAAAAATCAATTATAGCTGAAAGCAATTACCCCTAAAATTAAGACCCCGGATTCATCTCAATGTTGTCTATATAAATACTTCTTTCTCACATCCTAACAAAACTAACACAATCCAATCGAACAGAAACGGATATAAATACCTTGAGAAGGTACTGAAAATAGGAGCATCTCCGATGCTGGTTCTTGTTCTTGTAAACCATTCTCTCGAAGACCGCATGCTCAAGTTCAAGCTGACCAAGCTGACTCTTCAGCTTCTCCTCTAGAGCTTTAGCTTGTATATCATCCATGGCGACTCTTCCAGCGAAATATAACCGAGTTCAATGAATATCTGACTCTGGAAGCTGCTCTTAATCGAAGAAGACAAAGATAAAAAAGTGCTTAAACCTTTTTTTAAGCCCTCCAATAAAGTGCAATTTCGTTTAAGAACAACACATACTCGAATCAAACTGGCTAACTCAGACTTAACAAACTTACAATCAGATTCATACTCCACATACAAATTCGTACTCGAACTAGAGATAAGTATAAACTTACTAAATCAGACATACAAACTTACAATCAGATTCGTACTTAACAAAACCGAACTAGAGACAAGTAGAATCATTCAAATTCGAATCAGCCTAGCAATAAACATGATTGAACCACCTACTGAAACTGGACTCAAACATGAAGAAGTCAGAACATAATCGCCATGAATCATATATGAAACAGACACAGACTCGACTCAAACCAACAAGCAACAACACGCCTTTACACGATTCACATTTTCATGCTTATCCTATGATTTGGTATATATGTTGATTTTGAGAGGTACTTCTCTTTTATAAAACAATATTGGTTCTTATACAGGAACAAGAAATCATGAAACTTTAAAGAGTGAATTGTAGCATAATTTGAAATGACAAAATCCAAAATCACCATCCCAGTAGGAATCAACATATGGTAAGAACTCAAAATTCATAGTAAGATGCGAAAGAGAGAAACTTTGAACAAGAATCTGAAGACAAAGGCCCAGAAAGCTGGAGATTCATGGTATTCAGACAAATACAGACCAGGAAAGTAAAACCCTAAGAAACACATCAGACATGGAGCTCTTCTCGGAATGATCTCATGCGGATATTAAAAAAAAAAAAAAATCCTTACCGGTGAGAGTGACGTGGTTTGAAGCGGACGATGACGACAGAGAGGTGACGCAGAATCTTCTGATTCTTAAACCCTTCTCGGTCGATTTGAAAGCCACTTCGCTTAGGTGAATCGGTGGTGGACGAGAAGCGAGAAAAAAAGGTTTTAGTTGTTCAATTCAAAGTATGTTCTAAAAATCGGGCGCTAACCGATTAACCGGCCGGTTAGGCACTCGGCGCTGCTATACCGCCGCAATTTTAACCGAATCGGTTAAACAAATCGCTAACCGATTTTAAACCAATTAATCGCCCGGTTAGATGAAAAAACCCGACTAATTACCGGTTGAACCGTTTAGATTTAAACTTGATGGATCTCATTAACTAAAATTGACAAATCCTAATGGGCTTTTCTGTGAGGCCTGCTCGAAATTAAATAGTGAGAGCACAACCCTTTATTTATATGATATCTCAGATTCTTCTTTCCAAGTTGTTATCGATGAGTGACAATATTTTCAATAATTTTCTCTTCTTAATCTTTTTTTGTTTTTTGTTTGTTTTCTGTGTGTGGTTGTTTGCTCACTGGTCGCTTGAAACACTGATTCATGCTCAACCAACCACTTATAAAATTATCATATAACAAATAATTTTATTAGTTACTTAAATTTCTATAATATATTATTAAAAATTATATTTAAAATTAGATAAATTTGTAAACTATATTTATATATTCAAAAATTAATCCCTGACTAATTTTTGATTAATTTTTGATTTTTGGTCTAAACGATAGGAACCTCTATCATCCGACTAACGCCTAACAATTTTTAAAACATATTTTATGTATATATCTATAGCAATTTGTCTTTAAATCCTGTTTCTTAAAAACTTGATTTTTTATAATTTTATCCCAAAAAAATATTATTAGAAAGGCTTTCTTTTCAAAATTTGGTGTGCAAATATATTACGTAAGCACAGTAATGTGACCAAATATATTGTGCAAGCACACTCTCACAACAGACAACTTGAATACATCAGTCGACAAATGGATAAGTGTGACAAGAGACCACTCAAAATACATCATTAGACACATACAAAACTCGAGAATCTTTTAATAAATGTCATTTTATTATCTTTTGATCATGTAATTTATATAGTGTGTAAATTCTAATTTTAGAGTATTAGAGGGAATTTCTTATATTGATTTACGAACATGACGATACAAGAAAGATTTACGAACAGGATACGTGTCTTAACTGAAGAAACTAGAGACTAAGACCATGTGCATTAGGGTTTTTAAGTCTAGTCTTTTAGGCTTTTTAGGAATTAAAATTAATAAAAAAATAGGTTTAATTATGTTTTGAGCGGAAGACGTATCTTAAGTAGGAGACAATAAAAACCGTCTTTTGTTGTCAGGTGTCAGCTAATGAGTAGATCAAGCAGTGTGAAGTCTCTCTCTATCGGGGAAAAGTTCCCAACTTCATTTCTCGTTCCCTATGCAAAAAAACCTTTTTTCGTCTCTACCATTGAACTCGTTAATATTAAGAGTTTCTTATTTACATCTTTTATTCAACTTTAATAATAAAAAACAGATTAAGAGACCCATGAAAATCTCTCTATTCCACATGCTCTAAGATGACATGTGAGTGAAACAAACTAGAAATTAAATGATCTTTAGAGACGGCAAAGTGCTTGATTATTTTATTTTTCTTTTGATATAGATAAGTGCTTGGTTCTTACTTCTTCAAATAAATAAATGTAGTCAATGATTAGGACATGTAATTCGTGGGGAAGTGGTAGTAAAGATTCAACGAGAATGCGGTTTATAACGTGGCAAGCAGGCGAAAATAGTCTTCACTGATTTTAAAAACACGCAAAAAAATAATTAAATGAACGAAACGTGATGAAGATAATTGTGAGGTTAAGGCCAAATTAACAAAAGGCCACGTATTAAACTAATCTATATTTTGCAGATATAGTGGTCCACGATACTTGAACCTTTGTCCGGCAGAACAGTTTTTTTTAAATAATTTTTTTTTTTAATAATTATTCTTTTTTCGATAGTTTTTTAATATTTATTCAAAACAAAAAATTGTGTTAAAACAGAATAGTTTGATGTAAACACCTATTATACAATTGGGTTCCCACTTATCAATCGCTTTCCAAGAAATAATTTTTTTGAATATTCTAGCTTTCCAAGAAATAATATTTTGAATCTAGCTTTCCAAGAAATAATAAAAAATGAAATGTATGAATTGTACGGAAAATAACAAAGAAAAAACCGGAATTTATAAATATTATGTACACGCTCTTTTTCGTAATTTTGGTGACGCAAAAAAATGTGTGACGTTGGTGACTACGTCAGCATGTTAAGGTGTCGAAAATGTGACCTAGATTGGATTTCATCAAGGTGAATAAGATATTAGGATTGATGTTAATATGTGGTTGCCATTAGCGAATATTCATAAATACTTACCGTTTGATAATTGTCAAAAGAATTGTTTATACCAGTGTAGTCATTTAGAGTATGATCAATGATGGTTGATATACAGTATATTATATAGTATAAGATTATACCGACAAAACTAAATGATAATAGTTCAATAATTTCCACTTTGTTGCCACAAACAGTTTTTTTTTTTTTAACCACTAAACAAAAAAAATACATAGTGTAAAAACTCTTTTTATTAAAAACTATTATATGATAAATTGATGATATCCAAGATATAGAAATTTAGTAACTAATTAGAAGGATGATATAGATCGAGTTAACCCATCAAGTTTTAGCTGTTGTTTTTTTTTAAACAAGAAGTTTCAGCTGTTGTTAGTCGTAGATTTTTACGATTGGTATATAAACATGCATGTTATCTAGTTTAAAGTTCACATCCAATGTCAATATCAATGAGTGAATCTTGGGAATTAATTTAGTCACGGCGAAGCGTATGCATCTCTCTAATAATGAAATCAAACATTAGTGAAAAGTACATTTGTTTCTTTTATTTTTATGATGATAACATAATATAATCTGAGGAGGACTAGATTTAGCAAACTCACTTAGAGATCAACGAGAATTGTGAAACGTGCACAGTCACATTATCCACTAACCCACAAGAAGGTCGACCACTTTCCCTCCTTTTCTTATTCTTGCGTATCAAGAAACTGAACTACTCTATATAATTTAAATAGGGAATATTTAGATATGGGATTTTTTTTTATTTCTTTCATTTAAATTTATGTTTTTACCCAAGACTATTTTGATCTTAGCATTTTTCCTTCGACTATTTACGTAAGGTATAATATTACGTAATGTATATGCAAACGTCAAATAAAATTTTGTAATTTTATTGTTTTTTTGTGTTTACATTTTTCATTTTGAGAAAGTACTTGAGAAAAGAAAGTTTTCAAAATGTGAACATAATATTTCAGATGTAAAACTAAACACGAATATTTCACATATAAACGCAAGTACATCTCTTTCTCTCAATTAGAAGGTGTTGTGAATCTTGTAAATACATTCTGTCTCCGAATTGAAAAAGCATATATGTCTAAGTTCCAACACTAGTTGGTATATATTAATTCAATTCAAAAACAAAATTGAAGAATAAAAAACAAAAAAGGACAAACGGACCAAAATGTGCCACACCTACAACTTCCATGATCTCCCTCTATCTACTATATAAATGAGAGCCTAATATATAACATAATCATTTGCCAACAAAACTCTCAACCAACATAATCTATATACTTACCAATCCCCAAACACTTCAAATGGAAAACTCCGTAAATAACTGCGTGAGGCAAAGAGTACTCTCTAGTCACCAAATCAGAACGATACACGAAGAAGAAAGTCAAGAAGAGGAGAGTAGTTGGGTAATCTACTTTGAAGATATTGATCATGATGATGAAATGATTGAAACCAAAGAAGAAATGAGTCATTACTACGGTAATGATTCCTCAATGATCTCAGATGCTGCGTCACCTGTCTACACATCAAAGATTAATAATGTTGCTCGTCGAAAGGCTAGTAACATTAATACAAACCCTAAAAAGAGACGAATTATTCATCAACACAAAGAAGAAGAAGAAAACCAAAAAGGAGAGGATGAAGAAGAAGATACAGCCTCTTCTCCTTCTAATAAAACTAAGGTTAGATACATATATATGATGAGTGTATCGTAACTAAGAATTGAATTCGTTCTTTTAGTTAAAACATTTTCTAACATTTTTTTGTTGTTGATATAGGGTTTTAGTGTGTTGGATGGTGCAGAAGATAATACAAGATATGGAAAATCCATGGACAATATTACATCCGAGGTAATAAATTAACAAACAATTTGTTGCATGAAATATCTACTTCATATATATGTTATACTTTCCGTTTTCAATCGAAACTAAATCTGATTTTCGACTAATAGTTAATTATATATTTGGGGAATTAACAGGAGAGAGGATGCATAACGGACACAGGATCGAAGATAAATGAAGTTGTAAATGAAAAATTCTTCTCTGCAGAATTGAAGAAGAGAGGACTTTGTATAGTTCCTTTATCACTGTTATCTAACTTTATTGCTTGATGATTCTTTTTAATATTTTTAACTGTGTGAATTATTTTTTTATTCTTCTGATATCTTTGATGTAAAATCTCTACTACTAATGACAAGTAAATGTATAGAAAGTCGGATTCATCTATATTGAAAGTTAAACATTTTGCACAAGGGACTTTTAGAAGTAAGAGAATTAAAGCTTATTACCTCAGAATGTTTCTTGTTGCAGTTTTACAATATATGTACATTAGTTGCTATGGTATGCACCTGAAAACACATAGAGTTTAGAAGACGATAACAGAGACGAGTTTCGGTTTCCGGGTTCATCTCATTTCTTTGCCGGAAGCTTCTTTAGCAACTCGGGTGTCACCTCCAAAAGATCTTCAACAAGTCGTCCATTTTCATAGCCAATTGTATTAGCATTATTTGTCACTATATTGGTTGAGGTTCCATACCTTTCTAAGCTAGTCTGTGTCTAACTATTTGATCTGAAACTTGGTCAAGAGGATCTCAGGGAAACAAAACAACAACGTCACGCATTATCAATCTTTTTGGTGTAATTATTTGTTTTGCTCATTTGCATATGTAGAGAACTTAACTAGACATTACAAAGCTTGATGGAGTCAATACTTATAATGCTTTTGAATTAGGTACATATTAAGCTTACACAAATGAGAGATCACATTATTTCAATTCCAAAACAAGAAACCTAGTCATGGCTTCTCATATAATAGTAAGAAATATCGAATACAGTTCTACTTTATAGTTTGGTTTGGTTTATTAAGTCCGGTTTTTTTTTTTTTTTTTGACAACAGATTAAGTCCGGTTTATGATTTGAGAATATATATAGACCGTTTGGTTTATAAGAATCTTGAGTCAGTTTCTGTTTGGTCAGTCAAAATTTCAAAGTTCGATTAGGTACGGCATACTGCAAATGCGTGCCTATGATATGCTTTGCCATACCTATTTTGCACCTTTTCCATAATGCAAATTATTGCATTTCCGTATCAATCTTTCTCTAAAATTTGTCGTTATCATAAATATTATTTTTTGTAAAATTTTAATTCTCTTGCAGGCTCATAAGCGACATGACTCATCTAAAAATGATTTTGAGAAGATCAATATATATTTTTTTTAGAAGATAAACGTTAATTTGATAAGACCTTTTATTAATCAGTTTCTTTCCAATTACCTTAAAAAGCAACTGTTCTATTAAGCTCCATCACCTCTGCAACATCATTTTTTGCCTTGACTTTTTTTCAAACTTCAAACGTTCAACTAAAACCAAAAATGACGAAAAGAGCAAAACTTTCTTTTTCATCTTCTTCTTCTCCATCAATCGAAAATCTTGTTGAAGAGAGTGAAGAAGTCATGGTGTTTCCCTCTGAAAACAGTCGACCTAGCAGCAAAAAATCCAATCTTTTAAAACCCTGTTTCACCGCCTCCATTGATGGATCTGAAGCTGTTCTCCCCCATATAAGTCGTTCAGCTTCTTCTCCTGACTTAAAGGCTCTGTCTTTCACTGTTTCCTTCAATGGGTGGAGATTGCCGAAACAAGTTTCAGGTCTTGGGCTACAAAAATGGCTGCTTTGCACAAACCCACTTGGAGAAAAGCTGGGATATTCGATGCTGTTATGGCATCCATATACAATATCTATAAAGATGTAGATCTGGTTCTAGGTATTGCTGAGAAATGGTGTCCTGAAACCAAAACCTTCGTTTTCCCTTGGGGTGAAACAACCATAACACTTGAAGACGTTATGGTGCTTTTAGGTTTCTCTGTTTTGGGTTCACCGGTTTGTGCTACTCTGGATAGCTCAGGAGAGATGATGAAGGAGAAACTGGAGAAAGAATGGCTCCAGATTAAAAAAGATCAGATCAGTTTTGTATCTCAAGCAGCGTGGATGAGGAGATTCAAGGACAGTGGTGACGAGCTTGAGCATGCGGCTTTCCTAGCTTTGTGGCTGAGCTACTTTGTGTATCCATCACGCTTTTATCATATATATGAAGCAATTTTGCCAATTTCTGTTCATCTTTCAAGTGGCACACGGATTGCTTTGGCTCCAGCTGTTCTTGCACATTTGTATGCGGAGCTGAGTCTCTTGAAAAACCACATTAGAGCTTTCACCGAGTCAACGATTACGGTGAAAGCTAATCTGAGTGCCTTGTTTAAGTTGGTTCAAGTTTGGACATGGGAGAGATTCAAGGAACTACAGCCAAAACCTAATCCGTTGCTAAAAGGTGAGCCAAGATTAGCTCTTTGGGATGACTTGAAACAGAGAACCAGCAGGGATGCGAGACAGATTCTGGACAACTGCAAAATCGAAAGTTTTGAGTGGCGTCCCTACACAAAAACTCTGAAAAAGTGGGAATTTCCCAAGTTTTATCCCGAGAAGGAGATGTGGGTTCCTGTAGGTCCCAATCTTGAGGATGATTTCATCTCTTTTGCTCGATGCGTCAAGGTGTCTGAGCTTGTTGGAATTGAAAGTGTGGAGCTTTATTTCCCAAATCGGGTGGCTTCACAGTTCGGGATGGTTCAGAATGTTCCTGCTCCTGTTGACCATAACAACCTCTCATAGGAGGCAGCTTCGACTCAATACGATAAGCCTATTGATGATTTGATGTTATTCATCCCTTCCCGCTCTGCAATACCTCGTGTTACTCCAATGTTCTGCGAGTGGTGGAGGAAGTCGTTTCCCCAATTTCAGAATTCTTCAAAGGAGAAAGATGTTGTTGAATCAGCTGAAACATTGAACTCAAGAACTGTTATAGGTGGTGATACATCTAATTTTGTTCCTTCAGGCTCTAAGATGAGCAGAACAAGCAGGGTTGGAATCAAGATAGCTGAGGATTTGACAAACAAGAAACGCAAGTGCATGAAGCTAGCTCGTGCCAAGAGATGGAAGTACATGAATCGCGTTCGTGAGGACGGTGAGAATAGTATAGGTCTTTGTCAGACACAGATTGCATCAGACAATAAATTAAGATGATGATAATAGTTTTGTTCCTACAGGTTCTAAGATGAAACGAACAAGCGAGGATGGAACGAAGAGAGCTAAAGATTCGGCAAAAAAGAGAAGCCAGTACATGAAGAGAGCTCGTGACAAGAGACGCAAGTACCTCAAGCAAGCTCTTGACAAGAGACGCCAGTACATGAAGCGAGCTCGTGAGAACGATGAGAGTAATATAGGTTGTTGTCAGACACAGGTTCCATCAGACAATAATGACGAAGATGTTAGCCTGACCATCGCTCAAATAATGAGACTTGGAAAGAACAAGTATAATGGAGGAGATGCTTCTGAACCGCTTGGTAAAAAGAGTAGACTTGAGGTGGATAACAACGATTCAGGTCCTCTTGAAAATGTTGCTTCGGTAACAGCTGATGGAGATGAAACTGTAACACCAACAGATATAGAGGAAAGGAATGAAGAAACTGGTGATATTGGAAGCAAAACAGGGAAGAATACGGTTCTGAGCCCAATTTATGAAAACAATTCTTCAGATCCTCCTCTTGGTTTTGACGAAGAAATTGACATTCTTGTGTCACCGCCAGAGACAAGACAAACCTGCGATGATGAGCTTGATGTATATGGAAGCAATGTAGAGAAGATGACGATGACAAATGGCAGGAGTAAGGAGCCAGAGTGTCTGCTCCATGAAGATGGTGCTATGGCTGGAGAAAAGGAGAGATCAGCAGAGAAGGAAGATGACCTTGTTGATGATGGCAGCTTGATCCAGGAAAAGCTTGCATTAAATGTAGACAACATTGAACCAACCCTTCGTCAAAAGCTTGTTTCTGGAGGCCTTAATGGAGAGGAAACACCTGATGAGTCAAACATTCACATCGCTGTAGGTGATGGAACTCAGGGATATGATTGTTTGCTAACTGCACTCGGAAGTGAAGAAACTTTGAAATCCAATGAGCAGTTAGAGAATTTAGAAAAGAGAAACGGAGGAGTTGGTGAGGGCGATGTTGGTAATGACTCCTTTGAAAAGAGTTTGCACAGTTTGAAGGTGCTGGCATCGTCGATGGAGGAGCGTATTACTAAGGCTCAAAGAAATGTTGCATGGTTAAAAGAAAGGAGAGCCATGAAACAGAGAAAAATTGCATCAGCTCGTTTGATCTAGGCATGCTCGACGTTGTTTTGGGCAGTGAAATGCAAGTAGAATATCAAATATATGTGTTCTTTCTATGCTTAAGTAACTTTTGAAGATTGGTTTATTAAGTGTTTCGGCAAAAAAGAGAAGCAAATGTGTGTGAGATCAAATATTTCTTACAGAGATAGCTTCATTTCTAGATGAAGTGCTAACGGAACAGCCTGAATCCATCATTTGTTGCATGAAAAAAAATGATATTTACCATCAAACTTACAATTATAGCATAACAGACACAGGATCGAAGATAAATCAATTTATGAATTTAGAATTCTCTTCAGAATTGAAGAAGAAAGGACCCTGATTAGTCTCTTATCGATTATATCTAAATATATTGCTTGATTTTAGGTGTGATCATTACTATTTTACTCTTCTAGTTCTTTGATGTAAATATTATAGAACATCGAATTCATATTGAAAGTTAAACACTTTGCAAATGGGTTTCTTTTTGTGATTGTCAGAGCAAATGACGAATTCTTCAGACAGCTTTTATTACAGTTTTGCTATATACACTACTTACTTTTGTGGTGGACTGGTCTGCACCTGAGAGAGCTTAGGAGAAGATAATAGAGACGAGTTACGGTTTCTCAAAATCTCATTTCTTTTCCGGAAGCTTCTCCAGCAACTCGGGTATCACCTCAAAAAGATCTCCAACAAGTCCATAATCCGCTACCTACATTTTCATATCCAATCGTTTTAGCATAGTTTGGTCTTAACTTAGATTGAAGGAGAAGAAGGGTCTTAAGTGGTTAATGTTACCTGGAAAATAGGTGCATCCGCGTCTTTATTAACCGCGACAATCACCTTAGAATCCTTAATTCCAGCTAAATGTTGAATGGCTCCTGAAACACCAAACGCCATGTATAGCTCTGGTG